AATTGTCTTCTAAAAAGAACAATGTAAATGTGTATCTTTTAGAATTGGATGTTTTATAATAGCTTTAAAATGAGTAGCTCCTTAGACTTTTATAATATGTGAAAGTAAGTTTTCATTTCTATGATTGGGAAATCCTGTTTTTTTTTATTCTCACTGATGTTCATGATGTTCTGGTCTGACTGCAGTTTTTGCTTTTAGGTGTGTCTCATACACAATAGTTCCAATAAGGTCATGCCAAAGAGGAATGTAAGTGTTGCCACTGTTGACTGGTAGGTTCGCATTGTGTTCAGTTACCTGATACACTAAATGTGACGTCTATTATTGCTCATGAACTAGTGTCATGGTAGTACCTGTACATGCTGTTCTAAAGCTCTGTTAAAAATAACAAATCACTATGACACGCTGCTGAACTATTAGGTTCACATTAGGTTAGGGCAGATTTCTTCTTTACAGAATTTAAGAATTCTCAGCGCTGCTCTGGAGGCATGAATGCATGATAAGCTGAGTTGCCTTTCAATGAATGAATTACTAAAGTGCAGCTACATGTGCCTGTATGGGGACTTGAATTCATCTCTGGACTTATTTAGAAAATGACTAAATTGATGCTTGAATATACACATACTGCGCACCAATACAAAGCTGACTCACACTCTCCTCGACTGAGGAGAAACTGTAATTCACTGATGCAGGGAATCCTAAAAGATCAAAAGTAAATGTTCCCTGTGCAGGAGTGTTGAATGAACAAAAAGGCACACAGAGATGATTCAGGTGTACGTTTGTACTTATGACGGATGCATTTGCATTCACTGCTTTGAATTGGCTTCTTTGCCCATTCAACTGTATAAAAAGGACACAATGCAGCTGAATCAGATGCTTCTCAGTTCCAAGACAGCAAAGGCCTGCAGATCAATCAGTGTGCTCTTGTCACATGCGTGACCTCGAACACGAAGGTGACTATAGGTGTGACTGTACCTTTGGCAGCAAGTAAGCAGCAGAACAGCAGCTGCAGTTCTCCTTTGGTGTCTATGTTTTATTAGCCTGCCACTGTGGACTCCGAAGCATTTTAATAGGAATACACTACACTAATATGTATATGTTGGGAGAAAATAGACTGTAGGCATAATAAAAAGTGGCAGTTGTTTATGTAAAACATTTGTGAAGAGCAAGCCAATGTGAGGGGCTTCCTAGCCCTATAACTGGGCTAATTTAAAATGTAGTATTTGAATGAATATAATGAAGGTGGTCTTTCCTTTAACCTTAACAGTGACCACCACTTTTCCCTCACCAAGAAATAATTGCCTAAACGTTAATTTACTTTTATCCATAAGCTTTTTCATTAACAGCAATAATAAAAAGCCTATAAACTCTGTGTATTGTGTTGTGCAATGTGTTGGGCTATGTGATTGTCTAATTATAAAACTGAGTGACAAGCTTTTACTCTATTGTTTTCTACAGAACATTCTGAGCATGATATGCATGATTCATATCTAATGTTTTTGTTGCTCCACCCAATATATAACTGCTTCCCTTCAAATTGTAATCCTCAAACTTGTCTGACGAGGAAAAGGAGAAAGAGAGGTGAGCTAACCCTGCCGTACATCTTCCTCTGGCTTATCTTACTTTCTTTTTTTATTGTTTAAGCATTGGTAAAACTGTTTATTCCAGGAAACTTGAATGAAAAATAATTTTAACCATATAGATGTTGTTATTGGATGGTGGTGCAATCAGCTAAAACACATCAATTTCTTAATATTACTCAGAATTTCAGTGATGTGTGAGCTTAAAAGTGACTTTCGAGCTTATTGAAATTCAGCAAAATTGTTCGTATTAGAAAGCACTTTTTTTTTCTTTCAAAGCAGGCATTCAAACAAGCAAAGGGATGCACATGCCTCTGATCAAAAAGGATTTCACATTATTTTCTTGTATTCTTCTTCTTATCAAATGCCAGTTAAATACATTGAAGATCAGTTAAGGTGTACCAAATAAAAAGGTGAGCCGAACACTGTTCTCAACCATGGGTAGCCAAAGAACTTGGCCGAAAGTTCTGCTACTGTCATTTGTCGGGATCGGTAAGTGTCACTCTCTTTTATTCTATACAAATATTTGGATAAGGATCATTCACTTTATTGCCAGTACACATGATAAATATTTAAACTACAAATGTTTTTTCTTTAATTCCCTCAGCATGGATATCAACATTGGTCTCTTCAAGTGTAAGTCAATTTGCTTGTATTTCATTGTAGCGCTAAATGTAATACTCAGTTTTATATGTCTCATCTGTACAACATACCAAATATATAAATATGCTTCCATTTTGTATTTCAGGCAAATGTGACATCAGGTAAGGAGAAAATGTTTTGATTAATTCGTAATTGTGAAATGAATTATGTACTTAGAGTGTAATCACACAGTTGTTACTTTTACTATGTAATCATATATGTTTTGATATATGTAGGGCCAGGTCCAGGGACATCTGAAAACAGGTCAGTATGCAAATTTTAAATAAAACTGGACGCATTAACACACCACTGTTCACCAGGAATATCATTTCAACAATAATTTATTAATGTTTAATGTAATGTTAATTTTTGTTTCACCATTTTATTTTTCTCTAAAAGCAATCCGAATGATGGTTACCAGGAAACTTGCCACGCGGTAAATCCACTAAATGCCAGCCGCAGAGTAAGTCTTTCAGAATTCACATTAGTGGTAAATTCACAATGTCCCATAAACACAATAGGAACTTCCCAATAATCTGTGTAACTTTTGAAAGTCACCACCAAGAAGTGTTGATATAGTGCACCCCCTTGTGTTCACTTGACAACATTAATCCCTGCTTGACATCTTCCCATGTTGCTGTGTATTACAAATACATCTATCTGTGTTCCCTCTAGATATCGGCTGCAGTGGACACACTGGCAGGGGAGCTATTCTGTAAGACGGGCAACAATGCACAGTTGGAAGAAAACCTCAGAGAGTTTGTGGAGTCCACTTTAAAAGTCTTCTTTGACCTGGTATATACATTTCTCTACTTCTTTTTGTATCTTTTTCAAATATTTATAACATGTATTTTGTTATTTTGATGTGGATGGTGAGAGATTAAAACATTCAACTCATTCCCTTGGAAGCAGATACTAACAATCTAGTACCAGCAAATGTCTGCCCTACAATGATGTATGGAGGCTACAGTAGTGAATGCAATTTGTCATAATTGTCAAAATATTCTAAATCTAAAGCAGGACCATCATTTAAGAACTATGGAACTATTATGTAGCTGTCATGGCATCACATTTCACCTGGTTAAGTGCAAAGACCACATTTGTAAACACATGTATTCATATTATTCTCACATTCACAAGTAAGATATGCAAGATTTGGATGGAAATATCTGCATTTTGTCAGTTATTCATGATTGAAAATATATGCCTAGCTGTGTTTACATTTAAGACTTCCTTAGATTAAAATGTGAACAAGGTTTTTGACAGCATAATTAAATATGATTAACTTTGGTTGGAGTTAGTGTTAGGACGCCCATTTAGTTAAAAATGTACAATTTTGAATTTCTCATAGCTGTTAACATTCAAAAGATGTTAAATTAAAAACATATGACACATACCGCTCCAGTCAATGATTTATTTCAACTTTTCTTTTCATAACAGAGCACCAATGAGTCTGGATTCAACGTTCTGGATATATTTGGTGTCCTGGACAGTCTACGTCTGGGAAACCAAAGTGACTCAGGATTCATCAGACTGTGGTTCTCGGTAAAGCTGGCTCCTCTTCTGCCCCATGTTGACGAAAACTTCCTGGTCCAGCTGAGCAGTCAGACCTTCAGCTGCAGTTCTTTCCAAGAATTGTAAGTAAATCCAATTCCATTTTACTGATGCATACAAATGAACGCTAGAAAATTAACTTGATTGTTGTTAACAAAATAATACATGACAATGACGTTGGGTAACCCTTGAAAGAAGGAAATATAGTTGTTGCACACCCGGCATTTTGAAATGAAGGTTGGTGGGAACAGGTTATGAAGAATTTGAGTAGTGAGTAACAATAAAGAAAGTCCTGTAGATCTTGAATCGAAAAAAAATGTGCACATTAGCAGATTAGCTCATACATTTTATGACAAACTCTGACAGCAAAACAGGCAAAAAAGGTAAAGAAGTGAAAATATTTCCTTTCCTGTAAACTTGTTGACATTGTTGTTATTGTTCCTGTCTGATGACTCACGAGCTACATTTTTGTTGTTGTAAGAAAAACAATAATGAATATTTCTTTTCAAGGATTGAGGCTATGAGCGATGAGCTGGAGACATCTCGAAGAGTGAAGGGAAAACTAATCTATTCACACTTCATTCAAGCCTACCTATCAAGAAAGAACTTACCAGGTAAAAGGATGAGAACATGTGCTAAATGTGTCAGAAAATGAATCAAACTGTATTTAATATAAGGGACAAACAAAGAAGAAGTTCCTCTGTGAATCAGAAATTAACAATCAGAATTGCATGCATATTAAAAACTCTGTAGCAGATTTTTCAAAATAGAATGAGAATATACCACTCACAATTCACCTTGTTTGCATGAAATATTTTTGACCAGTTTATCTTATTAAAACATTCACAGAACCTGGATGCACACAAAATGTGAATGGAAGTGCAGAGTGGCTGAAAAGAAATCTTGGACATTTCTCAATTTTTGCAAATCTTGACGATTTAAAAAAAATTAACAACAATTTCTCTGCAGTAAGTAATATAATATTCTATGAATTCACAATATCAATATTTATATTATCATATGTTCATGTTTATAATTCAGTTTCTGAAAATAATGTGAGTGAAAAATAAAGAATTTTTTGGTGTCACCAGAAAGAGGTTGTGGACTCCCTCTCACCAAACCAGAAGGCTGATCTGTTCCTGGATGAAGAGAGCGGCGTGTTGGAGGATGAGGCCTTCGCAGAGGAGGTTTTCAGAGGCTTGACAG